GCGATATAAATATCGCTTCAGCTTTAACGACTCCTCATCGGCATCGCTCTTTAAACCAGTGTTTCTCAAAAAGTGGGGGTCCTGCGCCTTTCCCCCGGGGGTCCGTGGCCTCTGCTTAGGGGGTCCGTCGAAAAGTTTTCAGGATCATTATAATAGATAATTCATACACTGATATCATTTTTTTTTCACTTTTTTTTTTTTACAAAAGTTCATAGTTCACAAATATATATTTTTTTTTTAATCTAAAATAGTTCATTGATTATTCGCTCTAATTCTAAACAAGATTATTACATTTAAAATCGATAACTTAGGTCGTCAGTTCAAGAGCGCCGCTGCTAGCATATCATATGAGAGATATAAAGAGCTAGCATCACTGAGAGTAACAAAGCGTCACTTCCGGGCAACCCGTTGAAGTAAACGGCTACCGCCCACTTTTTGGGAATGAACAATAGTGGGATGTGGTAATGTTCCGGTCTTCTTGGTGAGTCCGGGATCATTTGGTCTCGGTTTAACCTCACGAGCGATACAATTCCGGCTCAAACAGGCTCTCAGTTAATAAACCATTGACATATTATACCTGTGTTATAGTATTAGAATCTAAATGTTTGGCCGACTGGGCTTTTGTACTAAATAGATGTATTATTGCCGTATAAGAATAGAATCAAGATATAAAATACACTTAATTAAATCAATACATCACTTTGTACTGAAGTATTCAAAAGCCTACAAAATTAATAAGTAACTAAAAAGTTGTTTTCATAATGCAAGTTTACAGACCCTTGGTAACTCTCTGATACCACTCTCCATGAATGCACTTGAGTTGCTGTGTAGAGACGCACAGCTACATTCAAAACAGATATGCAGCAGCGCTTAATGGAATAGAACAGGATATATTAAAAAAAGGGCATACTAAGTACGAATCGAAATTATATTTAAATGAATAGTGCCCCTGATCTGATGAGACAGCATACGACAATTGCCCCCTTGGCTAGGTAGAGGTGGAGCTGTGTGTTCCGTCATGAGATCAGCTGCTTTGGGCTCTTGTCAAAAGAGTTGGTGGGTTAGTAGAAAGGTAGGACTCTTCCTCTCCTCTTCGGAGCAGAAACGAAAGAGATTCCAAGAAATATTTGTGGTTCCTCGCTCTCCTGTTTATTCTTAGCGAGTGAAGGGGTAAGCAAGAGAGAGATAAGATGGCGCGAAACGCCATGTTCACTTCCTTTCTTACCTGCACTAGAGCACGATTAAATCCAGAAGTAAACATATTCAAAAATACAGACAGACAACACTACAATTTATATTAGTTTGGCATTAGGCCAGGGATAGTCTAGAATACACGACGATTCAAAGAGTGTTTGGATCATAATGTAATTGTGCTACTGTTATATAGCCAAGCAACCGTGTGTTTTTCAAATCTGTAACTGTCAATAGAAGCTCCTCAAAACACTATCGATGTTAGCTAGGATCTCCTACCGTATAATAAAAAAACGTTAGTTCAACAGTAATCAACAGACCTAATTATATATAATCATTATGCAAGAGGATGACAAAGATCAAGATTAAAAATAAAAATCAGACTATTTTTTGAATCATAAAATCACTTTTAAACTAAATCATAAAAGGACATATCTCAATTAATAATTAAGGATTCATAAAAAAACGAAAAAATATAAAATACAAAAATTCTGTTTGAGAATTGGTGGCCATGTAAGTAAGCGGCGATATTCATGTGCCATTGATGATCATCGGTGCAGAAGACATGCAGACTAGACCTCTATAAAATCCTGCAGAAAAAAGAGAAGAAAACCGGCATCGTTCCTGGTTGGTGTGGCACGTTGAACCGGCTCCCTGTCGTTTCACTAAAAGAGCCGGGTGAATAAAAGAATAAAAAGTTCTCTCAGGTTGAGACTGAATGAGAGAACATTCACTGACTCATCACTTAGCTTCTCAGTTGAACGGCGGTCGAATTACAAGTCAATTCTGAGTCTTTTGCCTAATTCCGAAGGTCAGAACAGTAAGAAAACAAATGAGAGATTTTGTGGATCGTTCAAAGAAGCTATCCCGTTCAATAGGCCAGATCAGAGACAAAAAAAATTCGGGCATTAGAGTCCCATCTTAGAAATCTGGACGATCTTGGGTCTCGGCTACAAGAAGAGTATATGGCGTTAAACAGGTTAGGCTATTCATTTTTTCCATAGATGAGAGTTAAAAGACATTCTACGTCACTTTGTACGGCCCCGCCCACCTTTCCTGGGGTGAATACATTGAAAAAACAACAACGGCATGTTATATTGAAGTGTGCCGATCGAGCCTGAAAGCCACAGAATATCTTCTGTTATCTGGTCCTTTCTCTTAGAGGAATGTACATGGAAACACGTAACTCGTGGATTTGTTTTAATGGTTTGAGGTGCAAGTAAACAGACAGGCACGCTTTTTGGCATTGAATAGATACTGATTATGAGTTAGAAAAACATACAAAGACGTAGCCAAAATCTGACTCATGAGATGTAGAAAGGACTGGATAATTAGATTACATGGCCTTCCCTGCCTACTGATTTATGAAAAAAAAACTTGATATCGGCATGCAAAAACTTTCAGACTCTGTATTGATCCCTGGCCATTATAGGAAAAGCCGTGTGTTTTAGTACATCAACAGAAGCTGGGCGGGGTCAGTTATGTTTTTGCACGGAAGCTTGACATAGATAGTAGTATACTCTTCATCTAAATACGTGACTTGTATAGGATGGACAGATAGTTTAAACGAAGACTCGGATATAGGGGGGCGGCTAGAAATGAACGTTACAATGAAAAACAAAAAATACAAAACGAAACGGAAATATGAATGGAGGAGTATCTCCTAATCATGGATGTTATGTCTGAAGTGGAAGGAAAACCAAATAATGTCATGAATATAAGCCAAGACGGTAGTGTGCCAATGAGCGTCGAGTGAAGCCTGCGACCAATGAAGAGGCACCGTCAGACCAAGCATAACAGCTCTACGCTCCCACGACGGGTGCGTTTTTTGAGAGCGAAAGGCGAATGAACTGCGCGAAGCAGACAACAACGTGATGGTTATATGTTACGTTCTGGTTTCTGCTAAGAAACAGATGCAAAGAATTTAGGACATGTCCTGCGATATCAAATCACAACTGCTGAAAGACGAGAAGGGTCATAATTCGCGGTCATAAATTGTGGATGAGTCCACCGATGGTGTAGACCAGACTCTGCGCAGCTCAATCGATCTGGACGCGAGACAGAGGTGAGAAGACCGCAGGAAGTGATGATGGACTGAGATATCTTTGAGCAACATGGCATCGGTGGAACTAGCCGTTAACAGATATAGTATACTATTAACACGCTATATGCAGATGGTCTGGCCTGGTGCTGCTGTTGCGCATTGTGCAAGTAGAGTAAGATCCTCTTTTCCGCACTTCATGACATTATCAGTTTATGAATTCTGTTTTCAGCTGCTTGAGAAAATTTGACTTGTGGCTGAGAGCTCTGGTGTGAAAAATGTCAATTGCTGGTGAGAGTTGAGCCTGGTGATACTCGCTTGAACATGTATTATCGGATATAGAGAAAACTGCCAATCAGAATTATTATGTTACTTATTAATGCGAGAGGTCCGGACTCTGTTCTGGTCGTGTTCGGCCCACTTAACCCGCTGGTGGTGTGTGTGTGTGTGTTGTTGGTGTGTGTGTGTGTGTGTTGTGTGTGTGTGGTGTGTGTGTGTGTGTGTCGTGTGTGTGTGGTGTGTGTGTGTGGTGTAGTATATGTAGATAGTGTGTGTGTGTGGTGTGTGGTGTGTGTGTGTGTGTGTGTGGTGTTCTGAAATGCCTTCAAATTGATGCACTTTTCTCTGATTTCCCTTTGGATATGTTGTTTGGTTAGGACAGTGTTAGTGCAGCTAATTGATTGATAGTTTTGGGTAATTTCTGTGTTGAGATGGTGCAATATTTCTGTAATACAGATATCTTAATATCTTTACTAATATTGCTCTTGGTGGTACGTGTCTTTCAGAATAACTTAAAGACTATCAGAAGAAAGGTAGGTTAAAAATACAGGCTACGACAGATTATTTCCAGAGGGACATTACATGTCAAGGCTCGAAGGTACTTTTTTATTTATATAGAAAGAAAGCACCAAAAGGCAGCAGAATCAGAAGTGCAGGTCCTTGAGTATAATTTTCGTCTATCAATTGGTAAGCTGTGTCCTGCTGAAAAGACACATTGAGGAACCTCATAGCTACATAACGCTCCGAGTTTACACCAGACAGAGATAGTCAGCTGCGGTAGACATAAAAAAAAAAAAAAAAAAATATACGTCTGCATATAAGTCAAGTAACAAGACTGGCACTGGTGGCTTCGGGAGCTACCAACACAGGACAAAGAAATTATTTGACCGTGATTTCAATTGTAATCACTTTACAACAAAGATGCCTGGATAGTACAACAGTACAGGAAGGCGGCGCAGCGGGGGAGCTATGTGGGTGCTGATATGCTCCCCCAGGTTGCGTAAATAGCACTCCCTAAGCACTACCCCAAGGAATATGCTCTTCCTTTTTTGCGGAAACTTGATTATTAATAGATATTTGTTATAAATAGAAAATTAATTGATTACACCAATGCAAGTGAGAACAAAACCATGTTTGTACAAAACATAAAGCAAACACAGGTGGAAATATGATTAGGAAACCAATGGCCAGCCCATTAGATTTATTGACCTGTAGCTCATAGGCTAAATTACTTTGTGACACTTGAGTGACTTCTGTTACAGTATCTGAGCCCCAATTAATGATTAGCTACGAGCAAAGTGTAATAAATTGGATCATTTTGCCCTCGTCACGCTGTCTACACAGCTCACCTGTGGACCCCCTCATCACCCACCCCTAGAAAAAACGTAAAATAAACTGAAAGCAGAGGTATTCTGCACATAATAGAAGCCTCATGAGTACAAGGTAGCCGTATTCTGCGGTCTCGGTTATCAAATAAAAGCTCATGACTTCCGTCTGCTGTGTGCTGTGGCACGAGCCAGTTTTGCTGTGCGTGCGCAGTAGCGAGTCGAGATGAGGACATGGCTCGCGCACCGGTGGGTAATCCTACCTCAGGAAGGATCGTTAGTGAGTTAGCATACATGGAGCTATCTAGCCAGCTAACGGAGATATAAGAGCGTTTGTTCAATAAGAACAATGCGAAGAATCTCGTGTGTGATGCTGAATAAAAATCGCTGAAAACAATTCTAAGAAAGAAAGAACCTTGAAGAATATAGTTCACGTCAAACAGAAAGAGAAAAGTGTGTTGAGAAAATTAGTTCGGCGATCCGGGCGACCAGACATCGGCTGTCATCCAAAAAAAAGAGCCTGCTAAAAACATGCTCGTCAAAAAACAACTGCAAGCAAAAAGAAGACGAACCTCCTACAAAAACACACACCAGACACACACCACACCACACACACAACACCAACACACACTCCCTCTCCACAACCACACGAAAACACACACACAACACCCCACACCCGCCAACAAGACACACACCAAACACACACACCAGACAACACAACACACACACACAACACACACACAAAAACACACGTCGCACGCGATTGCAACTACATCATCAGGCACTCACAGCAAGGGGCACGGCGTCTCAGTACACCAATCCCAACACAAGCACACTCAGATGACGCACACAAAACACGGACCATCCAGCATACTATCTACAGACATACCACCAGCTAAACTAATATCAGTCAAGATCACACATCACCAGACATGGCTTACTCAAACCCCTGTTATTAACGACACGGAAGTGAACATCATGCAACTATCATATCAACGTAAATACCTCAACCATACTTATATAACAAACAGTTCTAAGCATATCTCATATGCTAACACGACCCGACTTACACACGAAGCATCGTAACATCACACACACCTCAGACTCTCTTTACCTACACATTTTGCTCTCAAAGTGCATCGCTAGATCGCTAAATTAACTTCAATATTTAAAATCTACCACCCGCACTAGAGGAGGCGAGGACGCCTCACTAGAGGAGGTCAGGTCACTCCCCACTTGTAAAAATAGCACTTTACCCCTGCTTACACTATTGCCCGTGAGCTGATTGACAGAGCCTTCCATTGTAAGCAGTCGCGGGTACATGTGTGTGCCTTGGGGAGTGTTGCAGTAGAAAATTCAACTGTAGTCTCTGGTGCATTAAGGGAAAGCCACTTAATGTTTTGAGCACCCTCTATGAAGACGTCCAAGCTACCCCACAGCACCCCCTAGGAGAAAATCTCTGCGCCGCCGACTGCAAACATACTGATACCCGGCTGAAAAAACCCCATGAATTACAATGCTTTGACAAGTCGCAAACAGCGCGGCAGGGAGAAAAACTTTTAAAATGCTTGATGTTCTGAATGAAGATCGAATCGACAGGACTAAGCTACGAGTAAATGCTCGACGCACTCTAACAACGGCCTACAGAATAATAAAGCAGGCCGACTGTATTCGCCGTGACACAGAAAGTTGTGGTTTGTACTTTTTTAACTTTTGTCAGTTCTGAACGATATGAGGCTGTGAGTCTGTGTGCCTAACTGCAACGGCTGATGTTTTCTGGTTTAACCTCCAGTGACGGCAGGCTGAGATCCTCAACCGCTGATTGGCTACCAGCGAGATTGCGTCACGCGAAATATGACGCTCCCAGTGGAAAAATTGAACTTGAACGTTTAATCGCCGGGCCGCCCTTCAATTTCGCACCTCATCGTCGCCAGCGGAATTGCGTCACCGCTTCAATGCTCGGCCGTCGGAGCAAATTAGCGTCTGTCCGCGGTCCCTGCATTGATTTACTGTAAGTCGCGCCAACGGACCAAACTCGCATCGCGTCCGGTGTGAACGCAGCATTACACACCAACTAATGTCTAATTTGCTACTCAGTAGCTGTTGTGGAACCCTGAAATGTTGAGTCCCCCAAAGTGTATGATGAAGGTGTATACGTAAGGGTCCCAGCACATATGGAACCACTTTCTCCAACATTTGCTATTGAGGCTTCAGGCCTCACAAGAGAGGTGACTATATTTGTTATCAAGTCAGGAGATCAACGTGCTAATCAAAGATTCCAGAGAACATCTTGTCACTACAAAGGATATGCCTGTCCACACTTCCTGGTTTTAGAGTGTTTTTTGTCATCTTGCCAATGACCAAGACAAGGACACAATCCTTCCAGCGGAGGAGTGTCTCCTGCGGATATAAAAGCAAGGCTTCTGGAAGTCTTACTTTTAAATTGAAACAACTTGAGCACTAGTCAACATTTGACTTAACAGGGAGGCACAATGTTTTAACATGATGTAACTGGAAAAAAAAACCTGTTTACATATTGGTGAATTGTAATTTTTCTGGAGATAAGCAGTTTTAGCACACTATTTTTGTGTGATAGTTTATTTTCCTTCTGTTGTCTTTAAATGTTACAACACGCTGCTCTGATGAGTCAGTTCTGACCCAGTACCAACTGAACCCAGATTCCAAGGGGGAGTCCTGATTGACATATAATGACTTTATGAACTATGAGTATGCCCTTAGGCATATGTGTCAAACTCAAGGCCCGGGGGCAATCAGGGCCCTTGGTGATTTAATTTCGGCCCGCAGGATAATTCTTAATTACTATTAGATCTGGCCCGCCGGTATATTGCACGCGCACCTTCACTCAATCCTGAGGGTTTCCTCAGCTCAGAGCCTGAGCCCAAACATTGATGAACTTGCACCCGAGATGAGATGCCAAGTATCTGGCTTGAACTAGCATTAGATCAGCAAAATGAGTTTCAATGGATGTTTCCTTCTGCCCTTTTTTTCTTGCGACAGCAGGGCATGTTTGTTTTTTTCTTTGAGGGAAATAGTTTTGTTGAAGCTGTTGTTGGCCTGTGGAAAAGCTGCGGATAGAGCCATAAGAAATGAATGCAACTGATTATTTCATGTTTAATGTTGTTTTTATAGGCAATAATTTAAGCTTTGTTAGTTCCAGGTTTAATATGTGCAATAAGTTCATTTCAATAAGTTTTGCAATAAACATTGAACCAGTCCGGCCCTCGACTAGTAACCATTTTTTTATTTTGGCCCACTGTGTATTTGAGTTTGACACCCCTGCCTTAGGGTAACATGAAATTGATTCAAGTGTGAGGATTCTGTAAACCACGATGCCGAAAGACCCATAGGGGCTGACCTGTACAATCTCCACAGTAAGTTTAAAAATATCCTCACGCTGAATAAACCAAAACCCAATCAAGCTGCTATAGAATGGTTTTCTAAAAATGTTTGTCTGTGTGCTTGCTGTCTTTCACATGCCAATTACCAAACCCACCTAACCCATTACTTATCAGTGGAAAACAAACAGAATCCCAAAGCATGTGCTCCATGAAATAACCTTACATTTGATTTGATTTAAATCCTCATACCCTCTGCATATTTATTAGGCTGCCAGGTCTTACAATATTTCATTCACTAATAATATTATTTTGCCCACTTCCCGTTAAAGACTATGATGAACCACCAATTTAGAACATACGTGGAATCAAATGAGTGGCAGAGTAAAACAAAACTTTCGAAAATAGCCCTAAAAATAATAACTAAATTCAAAATTCAAGTATTTTCTCTAGACTAAATTGTACATGCAGAAATCCTGCTGCCATGGTCAAGAGAACAAGAGGAAGGAGAAACGGGGGGGACTGTAGCCTTTCTGTCGTCCCACATCTGAGGAACCTTTAGTCCACACTAATAATGTAGACAGACGAGGGCAATATCATTCCTTTAGTCATCACCTGAGCCATGGGAGGCTTGCAGGACTAAAAATAAAGCTGTGAAAATCAAACAGAATGCACACTTCATGTGACAGGAAAAGATCAGAGAGAAGAAAGAAAAAGACTGCAGCAAGTAAATGAAATGATTATAAAACATCACAGAGTTAGGCAATTGTGATTTAGCTAGTGGTGTGATGTAAATGTATAAACAATTATTCAAAAGATTGCAATGAAATGTCCTACAGACATGTATGGTAAAACAATTACCCAGTACCCTCTCCTCCACCAGTTTACCTCATTTCAGTTGCAGTCAACCACACCAACAATTAACACCAAACCATTTATTTGAAAGGGAAATATTTTATTTGCTTGTAAACTGACATTATTCAGTTTATTTTTCACACATTTTAGCACAGCTAACACAAGTATTTGTTTGTATTGTATTAATTACTTTCTTTCTTTGAGTTACCTTGGTCAGTGAAGGAGGTTACTTCCTGGTTCAGCAGAAGGCGTGGCTGGGGGCTAAGGATATAAACTGCAAGTAGCCAATGGGTGGTGTCTAGATGAATACTCTAGAGCCCCTTTCTGGTACCCGGACTTTGACACTATGCTAAGTTGTAAGAACTTCAATCTGAATAGTAGTTTGAGCCACAGTTGCTTGAACACATGATTAAGGTGTTGTAGTTAAGTCTCCTTTGTGTAGTTGTGTAATGTTGTATAGGAGAGAAGACACTGATGATAGGAGCAGTTTATATCACTACAAAGGATACAATGACATTTTATTTTCCCTGTAAAGAAACCCTGCTGCCTAATGTTGGCCTGTGTTTGTGTCTCGGCAGCAACAATGTATTTAGATTGTTCTCTCTTCTAGTTCAAGGTCCTTTCTGTGGACATATTAAGTTATAATTCAAGGGTGAAGGCAACAACAGCGGAGCAGGAAAATTGCTCTGTCATTTGAAGAAGCCTTTATAAAGACAAAAAAGATGTTCTATGCTGGGGACCCGTGTTTTTTTTTTGTTGAGCCAAGACAATAAAGCCACAGATCTGGGCCCTATAGTCCAGGAGGTATAAGGACGGATGTCACAGTGGGTGTCAGTAAAGCTTGATATTTGTCTCTCAATCACCCTTCTCATGATCCTGCTGCTCCGTGACTTGCAACATGTTTCCACATATGTTAGAAGCAGAGACTGAAGGGACTGTCCCTTAAACATGAAACTCCTCAGCAACACTAATCTAGTTATTCAGTATATGAAAGCTCTCTGTACCTTGGTATTATCTGAAAAAAGTAATACAATGGAAAGTGTTCAATAAGTCAAGTCCATTGGGGATCATGGTATTTTCATTTCTTGACTCCTGTCTGGCAGCACTTGCGCTTTAATGGCTTCCTGTGGCATAGTGGCAACACTTCACCAGCAACTCACCATCAGTATTTCCATCTGCATAGCCCAGTAAAACCTGGATCCTCTTCCATATGGAAAATACCGAAAAACAGAAGGGCTTTAAGAGCTCTACATTAGCTCTGTCTGCTAAACATGTCTCCAAACCAGTCATTTATTAGTTTCATTTTTGGGCTGAGAAATATCTAACAAAAGCTGAACTAATTAATGTTCTTTTACAATGGGTAAAAAGACTGAAAGGTGTCACTTATAGTGATCATATACTGTATCACTAATCAGAGATACAGGGTCCCAGGATTTAATAAAGTCAGACTGAAGCTCTTATTTGTCCATTGTCCAGTCCATCCAAACATTAAATACAGAGCTAATCCCAGGTCTAATGTGCGATAGAGGGTCTTAAGCATGTGGTCTTCAGTGATTGTAATCTTATGTTAAATGCCTGTTTCCTTGTATCTTGTCTTAATATCTGTCCTTGTTTGATGTTGCAAATGGGATGTAAGAAAAAAATGACAGACTTAATCTGACAGTGATTATCATATCGTTAACAACATTGATCCAAACGTGCAGTCCCGATCAGCTCTGCAGAACCTTTTTAGTTTCTTTCAGCTTGTTTTTTTTGTTCTAGCTTACATTAACCTTTTTTCTAACAACAGATTAGTAATCTCAGTTAACTAGAGGTGGGGAAGTAACGAAGTAGAAATACTTTGTTACTGTACCTAAGTAGATTTTTCAGGTATCTGTACTTTACTTAAGTATATATTTCTCTGACGACTTTTTACTTTTACTCCCTACATTTTAACACAAATATCTGTACTTTCTACTTCTTACATTTTCAAAACAGGCTTGTTACTTTCGTTTTAATCAATGCATGTGAGGTGCATTATCAATTCTTTATATTTACATCATTGCGGGCCTTCGCCGACATCAAGACTGATTTCAAACTAAATGGATGTGACAATAACACGTACTGTAGAGAAGACGAGCCATGGTGTGCAGATCATGCACGACAGACGAAAACAACGTAAAAAACGTATGACGAAACAGCTGCAGAGACGTTAAGGGAGAAAGGTCTAACGGCATAATGTCCATGAGTAACCCTAGTACAGTCAGTGACAGCACTGAAAATAAAGATAACATTGAGGCGATTCATCAGACCACCAGCAAGCATGGCCTTACTTAAGGGAGATGTTTGAAGTTGTCGGAGCAAAAAAGTATTTGTGGCGAATGCACTATAATCATTTTTGTTGTTGTTGTTCACGCTGAATACATTCAGAATGACAGTAATAAAAGTTGAAATGAAGCTCCTTTTCAATTATATTAATATGATGTAAGGTTCAGTTAGCTTTGCACAAAAACAGCCAGTTTAAAAGTTACTTTGTAGTTTTTACTGAGAGTACATTTCAGAGACTGTACTTTTGTACTTTTACTTAAAGGGGACCTATCATGCAAAATGCACTTTTTTATGTCTTTTATACATAAATATGTGTCCCCGGTGTGTCAGGGAACTCACACAGCGTCAGAAAATAAAACCCTTTCTCTTTTCCTCCGTACCCAAATCTTTTAAAAACGGGGGTACAACGAGCGGATACAGATTTGCTGCCGATATGACGTCAAATCGGCAGCGGACCCACAGAAAGTTGCTACCAGAAACAATGCCTGACGTGTTTTGGTCGTAATCTAGTCTTTGTTTACATTAGCAAGCCTCGCTAACACTCAGAGCTAACCTGTACTGTAGAGCACATGTTTTTAAAAAGCAGGAAATAAAAAAAGGAACTCACTTTGTGATAAACCTGCCAGAGAAAAATCATTTGAGCTCCATACTGTTTCAGAAATAATCCTTGACGTGGTTTAAACAGGATGGCATTTTATCACAGCAGAATTTAACTTTATCTCCGGTAGAATTCTGATCAGGCAATTAGCTCCGCCTCCTCTTTTTTTTGTTTATGCTAAGGACCCAAAATCCATGTTTCTCTAACAGGGCTGCAAAAGAGGGGTATGAGCAGTATGAGGGATGGCTACAATGGGTGATCTGTTTGGTATTTTAAGCAAAAAACTTCACAGACATGTTTTGTATAGGTATGGCCCTACAATATATTTTTCCAATATAGCATGATAGCTCCACTTTAAAGGATAATGTATTCGTGCACCAGTCAATCCCTCAAATGGAAATGCGTAAATCCCAGGTTTAATAAATTGAGGGTCTTGAGCATGTTGTCAGTGGTTAATGGCCTTTTTAAATAAACAACATCTGTGATGCAAGAAACAAACCTGGCATGAATTGACATGGTAATTAAAGATTAATCCATCATATCGTATCGTTCTGCGGCACATTTCCTCATATGGTGACAACTCGAATGAACTTTGGGAACTCGAAAGGTTTGCACAAACTTTAAAGCAAATATGGAGAAAATCATTTAAAAATAAAAGTGGAAGGAGGCCGTTAATCTCAAGTTCGTTTGAACTCAAGTACGTCTGTGTTTTTCAACAGAGAGAGGTGTTGTAAACAACAATGAGTTGTAGACGAGTATAAGTTTCATGACCGCCCCCGATTAGGAGCATTTACAACTATTTAACCGAGTACATAAGTATGAGGACAACATCAACAGATAGAATGCACTTGTGGGTATATATTTTTTAAGAATGACAAATGTTTAGTCCTGTATAGCAGAATATATTTAAAAAGGTATAGTTTTCGAATGCAAACATGTTTGGAACAAAACAACAAAGCTTATCTCTCTCTTTTCTTCCAAGATCTGCCACCATGATGCAATCAATACCATGATTCCTCCAGTTCATAGACTGTTCCTTGCTTCCAGGCTCCTCCTTTCACTCCGGACCACCCTCTCTCTCCTCTCCTCTCTCGGCCTCTGTGATTGCATCTAGCTGACAGCTTTAGAGGGACTCCCTGTTTTTCTGAAACCTGAAGCCTCTTGCGCTGCGGGGAGCGTGGTGCCATGGTAAGCCTGGGACGCCTGATTTCCAGTTTCCTGTCCCCTCCACACTCACACACAACCACCACACATCTAATGACATTTACTCATGCAGCAATCGAATCTTCATTCTCAGGACGAAAATACTCCAGATTAGGCAGCTGAGGCAAGCACCAGACCACACATCATCTGATCCAGTGGGCAGATATGAGCCAAAAGCAGGTGCCAATATGGGAAATGATAAGTGAAATGGCGCCCCTTCTTCCAGAGTAAACAACACACATTTATGATCAAAGTTTGCCAACTCAAATGTTTCATATCAGACAGGATATGAAACAATTGATTAATTTGATCTAAACTGTGGGTTTTTCTCCGGAAAGTTTCCTTGTCCGATGTGAGGGTCTACAGGACAGAGGGTGTCGTGATTGTCTAGCTGATTCTGTACAAACTGTGAAGTCCACTGAGACAAAATGTAACATTTGTGATATTGGGGGGGGCCTAGGGCGTATATAAATTACCATTGATAGAGTTGATTGATTGGTTTAAAGTTAGAAACAAATGTCCGTAACATAAAACTTAAAAAAACTACGTTAGGCAATAGTGCTGTACTTTCTTAAGAAGTCTAAAGACAGCAATTAACAAAAGCCCCTATCAATTTAAACGTAAGCACAATGGATACAGAACAGAGATGTCAGAGTCCATTTGTGGACTCAATAGCTGACATGTTAGATATCTAGCTATAAGGACACACTCTAATTTACGCCGCAACATTCGATACCCATACTCAAATTGTAATGGAAATGATAGGTGTACAATATTTAAACTGAATTATAGACAAGAAAGTCGCTAATGGTTTTATGTTTATCTGCTATATGGAACTATCATAAACTTGATATTTCACGACATCTCCTTTGTACTTGTGCTGACAGTTGCTATTAACGGTGCCAAAACACTCTACATTAGGAGGAACGCGCTGCAGTGTCTCAAAACAATACAAATAAAAAAAACACAACTGTGACAAAACTCATGCACATATTCACAAACTTGACAACAGATGCACTGGGTTTACGAAAAGCGCTTTGTATTACAACGAAACGCTTTCAAATATAAAACACAATTACAAGAAGCTCAAAAAACGTTAACGCGGGACCACTTTTAAAAGTGAGCAGCACAGCTGGGACGGACGCGCCTTGTTGACGTTCTGGGATCCTTAAAGTTGGCCACCGTCATCTTATTGCTATGAAAACGCAACACTACATCCACTCATACTATGCAGATTTCAGATTTACCGGTGTTGACATGTTGTTTTGTCTCCTCCTTTAGCAGATGCTAAACATCATTAAGCATCTTACCACCCGACAAACTCATTTGATCCCTTCATCGTCTTTGCCGACACCACAGCATTCCTGACAGCAGGGCCCAATCCGTCAGAGGGCCAGTTCATCCGGTTCTTACGCTATGGTGAACAATATCTCCACGCAGGTGTCACGGTTCAGCATTTGACTGAAAAATGATGTGTGCTGGACACGTGACGTTCTGAGGCTGCCACGATTCAAAGATTTTAAAACGGTTCCTGGCCGGGGCAATCATGAAAGATAAAAGCTGGCATCCCCGGGGCTTCCCCGCAACAATCGGGGCGGGTTCACCATTGACTCGGGTGATTCAGGACGGATCTGTGCTCGGACTTGTTTGGCTCGGGAGCTGGTGCTGAGCATCCATGAGAGAAACAAGCCTCCAGGCGAACGTCATATCTAAGCATCGGAAAATGAACACGGGCCAAAAAGCCTTGAAAGCCTTTGTAGAAGTTCTACATCCAGAGCAACGTTATGAGAAGGGAGAACACCCACACGGATTGCTAATGGCTGCCACATCACATAAACGAGGATCCCTAATCACCAGCACTGTGTGTGACCACCCCGGGGGACGAGGGAGGGCACGCACACAGCACACAGTCTCGCCTGGGTGCATCAAAACCTCGCTTTATTTCTGCTTATTCTCACAAACCAGAGGTAGATATTATCTGTGAGCGGGCATAAAGACCGCTCCCCCCCCGCTGCTGAAGCACTGCCTTTCACTCTTCGCGCGCTTCTGCTCACTCGCTAATCCGATTACCAGAGTCGTGGACCAGGCATGGGCCGCCTCGCACGATCCACTTCAAAAGACAAAAATCTGGAGATTCAATTGTCCTAATAGGCCCCGAGCCGCAGCGCGCACCGAGACGACACACTTCAACCGTCAAGGTAACAATGTCACAGCGGCTATTTAAAGCATGAAGGGCTCTGATGTGCTCTTTTATGTCGGTGTTAGGACACATGTCTTGCGTGGATGTAAAGGGTTGAAGACGTGCTGGGGGAAAGCGGGAGATGGTTCCAAGAAAAAAAAAAAAAAAAAAACAAGATAGAAAGTTTGTGTTTTCTGGTAATAGAAGCAAGGCAAGCAGAAGCAGAAGCATAATCAAAACCCAGCCAGGCTCAAATCTCTCATCATTTTCAATCGTAAGTATCTTTATTTCAAAGCGGCGAGTGTGAACATGACAAACAGTTTCCCCCGCTTTGCCCTCATGATCTGAGTGTGTTTTCTCATTTTCCCTCTGCCTTTCCTAAGCAGAACTACTGATCCAATAATCGTGACGTGAGAAGTGGTGTTGCATTACTGAATAAAGGGACTCTAGGAGACTTGTTTGTACGTCTACAGCGGCCGTAAAAATAACAGCATCAGATTTAGAACATAACATAGATATACAACCTTTTTAACACCACGCAAATAGCATGCAAGGTAATATTTGTACGAAAAAATGAGAGAGACAAGGAAAAAGCACATATGTATTATGGACAGTGGGAGAGCAGGAACATGAGAAAGGAGGGGAAAGAGGGGGGTGAACATACACTACATTAGCATACTGGATGTACAATAGGTTGTTAACATTTCAGAGGATGTCCGAACACACGCGGTAACTCTCCCGAAAACATTCCGGCTGCAGTCCTAATGACTCCAATGGTTTCACACGCTTCGTCAAACAAGACTTAGTGTTGTGTTTCCAGCCTGCGATTACAACCAAAGTCCCAGACGTACACTCCACCGGAACATCTTCGGTCTTTGAGCTTGAGTTTCGGAATAAGTTCCATCTTAAACGGATTTAGGTCCAGTTGAGACGAAATAGATCGTCCGTACGGCTTTTTTTGAAGCGATTTGAACTTGCAGGGTTTCCTTGCTGTTCTGAGTTCATGTATCGTCATGGTTTTAAATGAACCCGCTTTAAGTCTTAAGGGCTTTGTTGTTTTGGTTACAACTCCGTATACAATCCTCCACCCATTTCTTGAGAAGAATGGATTTCAACTTTCTGTTGGTTCATTTGTTCTTTTTTTATATCAACAGGTGAACCTAATTTTTTACTTAATATGATTCTGCTTTTCTAAACTGTTAGTTGTGCTCATGTGTGGTGTATAGGCTACTGCCTGAATATGGCTTCGTAAAAGGCAAGTTTTCCAAATAAATAAAATCAGTTTTGAACTAAAAATCTTCTTTGTTCTTATCATAATCCACTAAAGTAAAAAATCAGAGGAATATTGACGTTATTTTCTTTTGTGTATTTGTTTGCATTGCACTTCGTATCATGGGAATCAACCAAGTAACAGAAAGTAAAATTACTTTTATATTTGATACTCAGATTACTAATTAAATGTTTCTACAGGTACACTGTAGTAATTGTAGCTCAATACATATTTAAGTAAGTCACCTCCTAACACTGAATGTAACTAAGGAGAGGGCGCTGTGCACTGTCAGGGTCTCCTTGCAGAAGGACTTATGGGAAAGTGAAAAACTGTGAGATCCAGTCCGGTGCTACCTGAAAGTTGACCCCAGACGCTATATATCTGTCACGAGTGACGATGTGCGCAGCCAGGTTCTTTGGTGTGCTCTTGAGTTCTGCGTCTGTTATGATGTATCAAGAGTCAGCCGGGTTTCGAGGAAGTGGAAGAAGCTAACGGGAACCGAGGCTGAGCTAATAAATTCAGAGCAGAGGCTCTCTGGGATCTGTGGGTCGCCGTGCATGTGATTTAAACTGAAAAAATTGGGGGTGACTATTCCATGTGTCGAAGTGCACTTTCACCACATCACACACTCACAACACCACACACCACACAACACACACACACACAACAAACACACACAACACCACACAACACACAGCTACACTCACAACATACCACCCACAACAATCCTCCCTACCACACACACACACCACAACACCACACACCACACACACAAACACACAAACACACACCACACAACACACACACAAACACACAAACACAACAGCTCTCCTACGCAAGCATAATGCACATTACATGACTTACCCCCAGGATCCTACCTTGTCACGTCACACAACACTCCATCCATACCACCATCTTCCTGTTATACAACAACCATCATCATCCAGGTGTGTATTATATTATGTCCGTATTCAGAGTCCTAGGGCCGAGAGGTCTTAAATCAAATCTGCCATTATTGATTAAATTAATCCCCCTTCGTTTTACCTCTGTTTCACAATTGTTTCTCAGTCATGCCCACCCAGTTTACGGATGCAGTAAGAACCCAACAGATAGAGGATCAAGGTGTCCATTTATGGGACGAAGTCATAAAGAGTGGAATGACTTCAATTCCAGGAATACTAACTAAATGTCACAC